GCAGTCACGCCTCCGCCCTCGACCTTGAAAAGACCACCAGTGAAAGAGCCAGCAAATCGTCTAGAGGGTGGCTTGAAAATTCACAAAATGGTCCATGTTCCTAACAGTAACAATAAGAAGAATGGTGCCCTGAGAAAGTGTCGCGTGAGTGCTAATTACAAGGTTAGAAAAGAAACAAGTATCATGTGTGCAGGCTGTGGTGTGGCTCTCTGCAAACTTTCATGTTTCAATGTTTATCACACGAAGAAAAACAAATAAAGAGGTGTGGAAAAGCATTTATTGCATAAAATATTGTATTTTAATTAGTTCCTAAAAATTTCGTTTTTAAAAACCAATTTTTGTTGAAGTTGTTTAGGAAAAAGTAACAACATGCATTTTAGCGACATAATGTTTAAAGGGCCTGCCAGGACAGGGGTGGGATTTAAATACCCTTCGCGCCAGTCAAAGAGATAATTTATACTCTTCCCCGGGTATTATTAGAACAGTCAAATCAGGGAGGATGAGGTGAGTAGGGAATGTAACATGCACAGGGGAGGTAACAGATGCATACAGTATTTTAGTCAGGAAACCTGAAGGGAAGAGACTACTTGAAGGACCTAGGCATAAATGGATGATAATATTTATGACTGAGTTTAAAGAAATGAAGTATGATAACATGGGCTGGATTCATGTGGCTCAGGGTAGAAAGCAATGACAGGCACTTGTGAACATGGTAATGGTTTTCTGTGTTCTGTAAAAGGCAATCGAATGTCTTTAATTATTATTAGCTTCACAAGATAGAGTCATATCCATGGAGTTAGTTATCACAGTTAATTTTTGCTGATGTCTGACAGTGTATAATTCTGGACAAACGCTAAATAATGTTAAAGCTATTGACATGAAAGTTCCTTCCAGTATATGTTGTAGTGTACTTGTAATAGAAGGGAAGTTCCTTGTTTTGTCTGATTTCGGTTCAGGGACTTCAGTTCTGTAAGGGAGTTTCCTCAGAATTTATATTGTTTTCAGTTTCATCCTTTACATGCCATGGAAATCTTCCTGCAGATGAAATATAGTATAAAGTTCCTGCAGTCAAAGTTTCATTTCAGTTCAGCTCTGCTTGTTGCTTGCTTCATGCTTTTTTTTTCCCCCCCTACCCTCGTTGGTCCTGAAGATAGAGGCAGTATGTTACTCCGAAACATTGCTTGACTTTAAAGGGAACTACACAACACTATATTGTGTCCCAGAAGACAGAATTCTTAAGAATCACATGTGTTATTATGATCTTAATTTTTCATCTTGTATTTATTTGTGGCATGAATGGTGAAATGAATTTAAGGCAAGAGACATTCACTGTGTTGTCCTGCCTAGACAGGAGCTGAAGTAGTCATATCTATGATTAGTAAAATGGAGAAATATGAAATTTGGAAATTTCTGATGTGGCACAAGGTTTAGAATTTATTTTTTATGGTTTGTAGATAATTTTTTTAATATGGAATCGACAGCAAACGGTAACATAATGTGATATGGCAGATGAAAGTCTGGAATAATGGAGTCAAAATACGAGGGTAAGTCAATAAGTAAGTTACAAATGGATATAGAACTTAAACAAATAAAAGTACTGATTTGAAAAATGCTTTTGTTTCTCAGCATAATCTCCCTGTACATTGAGGCACTTGTCCCATCATTTCACAAGCCCCTGAAAAACAGCAGCATAAAATTTTTGGGCTGCTATCGGAACCAGGCGGTGACTTCCCTTTCTACAGCGTCATCGTCAGGAAAATGTTCAGCCAAAAGATGATGTTTAAGAGGGCCGAACAAATGGAAGTTGCTTGGAGCAAGGTCAGGGCTCTACGGAGAATGCTCGAGGACTTCCAACTTGAAGTTTTGCAGCATCTCATTTGTCTTCTTGGCAGTATGGTGATGCTCGTCATGCAAGAGCAACATGCCTTTTCTGAGAAGTCCTAGTCACTTCCATTGAATGGCCTTACAAAGTTTCCTGGGGATGTTACAGTAGGAGTCAGCATTTACAGTTTGTCCTTAAGGCAGGAATTCGGTTAGCAGTATGCCTTCGTGATCCCAGTCACTGCCTGGTTCCGACAGCAGCCCAAAGAATTTTGTGCTACTGGTTTTCAGGGGCTTGTGAAACAGTGGGACAAATGCCTCAATGTATAGGGATATTATGTTGAGATATAAAATCATTTTTCAAATCAGTACTCTTATTTATAAGATTTGAGGTTTTTTCACGGTGGTGACTATGAAGAAAGCCATCTTCTGGGATGTGGTGCCATGTAGAAATTGTGTTAACTGATGTTTCGGAGGAACGTATCGCCTCAATCTTCAGGGTAGAAGACAAGAAGAAATTCACGAGCAGACCAGCAGAGCAGGTGCAGCAGACTGAGTGCAGTCGAGTAAACACAGCTATATAAGAGAAGGAGAGAAGGAGTGTGGCTACATAAGGAAATAGTAGAAAGGGAGAGGGGAAGGAGCTGGTGGAATAGCCAGCAGGTAGTGGGCCAGAGCTGATATTGAGTATGTGTCATGGAAGCCTCTCATCTGCTCCCTCAAGTAATCTCCGAAATAGGGCAAGCATATAGGCCACTCAAGTCCATCGCAGCCCCCGAGCTACAGGGTTAATGCCCTCCATTTAACCTTCCCTTCTCTCCCCCTAACACATACTCGATACGATCTCTGGCCCACTACCTGTTGGCTATTCCATGAGTCCCTTCCCCTCCCCCTCTCTACTATTTCCCTATGTAGCCACACTCCTCTCCTTCTCTTATACAGCTGTGTTTACTCGACTGCACTCAGTCTGTTGCACCTGCTCTGCTGGTCTGCTCATGATTTCTTCTTGTCTTCTACCCTGAAGATGGAGGTGATATATTCCTGTGAAACGTCGGTTAACACAATTTCTGCATGGCGCCACATCCCAGAAGACAGCTTTCTTCAGTACTCTTATTTTTTTAAGTTCTGTATACATTTGTAACTTACTTATTGACTTACCTACGTAAATTGTCTGTAGTTAGGTAATGGCTCAATTAACACATATCACAGCAGCAGGTATGCATGCACGAATAGAGGAACTATTAAAGGAAATCTTTTCTGTGTGGTCCATGCCGAAGTTTTGTAAGGAGGACTCAGTCTGAGTCGAGGGACAGAGTATTATGAAATGGTAGTCAGCTAGCAATGATGTTAGCACAGAAGCTGAAGAATCTCAATTGTTGGGCATAGTCATGTGGCAATAACTGTAACCAGCAGAGACTTAGCACATGCTGCAACGATATTTTGAGTGTGTAGATTAGTGGTAGTGTTATAAATATTTGTAGTTATGAGAGTCCAGTAAATCCAATTAGCAATACAAACCTTGTGTCTAGTCACTAAATCACGACAATATAAAAAGTATATATCACTTAAGTAATAATATTTCTAGGCATGGTTAGAAATACGGTAGCATGATCTTGCATCTGACAAAATAGCAAGGCTGCATTTGCAGACTGATGAATTTCTAGATACATATCAATGCGATAAAAAATGTATATCTAAAATTATGATTGTGTTTGTTAGGTACTACTGTTTCAAGAAGTTTATTTGACTTTGCATGTGTATTGCATTCATTGCAACCCCACCTTCCTGTTTCTGACTTATTGTTTCCTTTGTCCTTAGCAGTCCATCACATGAACTCTTCTAGTCCATGGTCAAGTGAAATATCCATCTGAGGCAAAGGTCCTGGTGAAGGTGAAAATCCATTACCATACCTATTTTTTATGTGCCTATGTATTTCTTCATAATTGTTGTTTAATGGTAGCACCAAATGCAAGATGATTGTTCTGTGAAGTATAAATTACTGCATAAACACTGGCTTGTGATAAATTCTATAAAGTCTAGTATGTGGGGCAATCCAAAAGTTTCCGAAATTTGAATTTTGCACACGAATGGTTATGAGTGCATCGAAATACCGCTAGGTGTCTCCTCACACATCCTTCTTGAATCAGTGTGGCAAGCAGCGTCAAGTTGAGTGGTTGGGTTTATTGTTGGTGAACGTATTTCCATTGTTTTGTTTCCGTGAGTCTGCGGTTTTGCGATGGCTGACCTGAGAGAGCAGCATGTCTGTATAAAGTTTTGTTTCAAACTTGGGAAAACCGCTGCAGAAATGCACCACATGTTGAAGCAAGCTTTTGGTGAAAACAGTTTAGGCCAGACACAAACTTACAACTGGTATAAGCGTTTTAAAAATGGCCAAACATAGACTAATGATGACGATCGTTCGGGACGGCCGTCAACGGGCAAAACACCAGAAAATGTCGTGAAAGTTAGGGATCTGATTCTCCAAGACCGTAGACTGACCATCCAAGACCTCTGTAACACCTTGGGACTAAGTTATGGTACATGTCAACGAATTTTATCAGAGGAACTGAACATGAGGAGGATTGCGGCCAAGTTTGTGCCACGACTGCTGCAAAATGAACAGAAGCAGCATCGCTTGGAAATCTGCAGGGAACTTCAGCAACAGCTTCAAGAGGATCCAAACTTTCTTTCGAAGGTTGTCACTGGTGACGAAAGTTGGGTTTATGGCTACNCGTCCAGAGAAGTGGCGCACGAACAATTGGGTACTCCACCATGACAACGCACGACCGCATACAGCTTACATTGTGCAGGAATTTTTGGCTAAAAACAAGATGGCAGTTGTTCCCCACCCACTGTACTCGCCAGACTTAGCTCCATGTGACTTCTTTCTCTTCCCCAAGATGAAAATCAAGTTGAAGGGGCGAAGATTTGATACAGTTGAGGAAATTCAAGTGAAAACGCAGACAGTACTAAACACCCTAACAAAGAAAGACTTCCAGGATGCATTTGAAAAGTGGCAGAAACGCTGGGATTGGTGTATGCGCTCCTAAGGGGACTGCTTCGAAAATGATGGAGCAGAATAAGATCTAGGTAAGATGTAATAGTTTTTATTAATATATTTCGGGAACTTTTGGATTGCACCATGTATATTCAGATCTCCAATGTTTATGGTCTGATCAAGAGTTCTGGCTTTGACTTTATTACAGAGAAATAAAGTGCATAGTATTGTGACATTGTAACACATGTTGAGTTTATACCTCTGCCATTTTGTCTGAACCCCATTGTATTATTATGTCTAACACCAATCCTGATTAATTCAAAAATAACATTAGTTTAGTCCTAAATGAAATAACTATTTGGTTTTTAACACTAAATTGTGAAAAATCACATCTTTTACAGTTCTTCTTAAGAAGACATAAAACATAAAGAAATGAAAATGCAAATAATATCTGCTAACTCAGTAATTACTAGTATCAATTGCACCAAATTTTTGGGCGTAAACACTGACAGTGCTTTGTCATGGAAGGGTCATATCACTAAATTATAATTAAGATTAAATAAGGCCTGTTATGCAATAAGGGCTATAAAGCAGTTTATGTCATTGGACTCAATTAAGATGATCTGTTACTCCTATGTACACTCTATTTTGTCTTATGGTATTATTTTCTGGGGTAATTCTCATCTCAATGAGAGCATCTTTAAAATTCAAAAAGGAATTATAAGATATGATTCTTGCCGGGAATTGTTCACAAAACTGCAAATATTGCCACTTCAGTATCAGTATATTTTTTCACTTCTTGTTTTTGTCATTAAGAATAAACGTTACTTTATATCTGATTTTGATATTCATGATATCTATACACGTTACAACTATAATTTACATTTGCCACCCACAAATTTAACATTAGTACAAAAGGGAGTACTTTTTTCTGTAAGTAAGATTTATAACCACTTACCATTATATATTAAAATGCAATCTAAAGATATTAAGCTTTTCAAATCCTTATTAAGGACTTATCCTACAGAACATGCATTCTATAGTATTCATGAATATCATCAAACAAGTTCTCGATGAAACTATCTATTTTGAATACTCTGATAACTGTGGGAGAATTTTCATTGTATATGCTGGTAAACTTGTATTATTGTTACATTTATTGTTTTGTAAGGACACATGTGTATTTATATTTAAGAATTGTTGTGCTGTTTTGTTTTTTATTCAGAGATCTATTATGATTGTATGTTTTTATATTTTATTCTACTATGACAGGTTCTATAGCCAATAGGTTTTAAGTTGACTTTGTATGGATTAACAGAATGCTAATGAATATGAATGAATGAATATACATACATGCCTATTAATGCATCATATAAAATGTCATCAAATAAGAACCTGCATTTTCATCATTGATTGCAATTATGTTTTCATGGCCACACATACACTATAAAATTGTGAATGTAGTAAAAGTAAATTATTGGAAAAACTACTTTTCAGAGCTTCTATAGAATAAAGTAAAGAATTACGGATGCCCAGGGTTTTGTTATATAAAGACTTTACTGATTATGTCTTTTGGTAGCATGTATCCACACTGGAGTGGCTTCTACAGGACTTCTCACTTGGTGAACATCTACTGCTTGTTGGTAATCAAGGTGTTGGCAAGAACAAACTGGCTGATCGACTGCTACAGTTGCTTAATCGTCCTCGTGAATATATCCAGCTGCACAGGTCAGTTTTCCATGAAGTACTTTAGAAATTTTCATTGGATTTTTGCAAAACTTTAAAAGTGGTTTATGACATTAGAACTTAATCAGTAGCTTCCTTCAGAGGATGACGTGTGTTAAGGTAACAGAGAATGTTACTTCTTAGTTTATTTCACAAAATATTTGCAACTGCTGGACCTGTGTCGCTTTGAATGGAAAGATGTTGAGTGAGGTGACTGTAAGACAGCATCAATACAGAAACAAAAAGGCTAATGCATTCACTTGTTGACACCTGAGTGCTTGTTTAAACCTATGGGCTAAACAGTCATGGTGAAGCAGACCTGTACACTGTTTTCACTAACAACATAAAGCACTTCAATCAAATTTATGTTGAAAATCATAGCATATTTCAGTTTCTCAAAGCTTTTGTTGAATCACTCAATTTTTTTATTTATTATGTGTCATCTGTTTGAGCAAAATGGTGTGTGTTTTGATAACTAGGTAAGACATTGTGAGCTGTAGTTGATGTGGCGAGAGAAAACTCTGCTGTTAATTTCACTGCAACATGCATAGGTTTGACTGACTTAAGCCAGCTTATTTCCCTTTTACCTCCTCTGTAAGAAAGGCATTGGAATCAAGATAACAGTGTGATTGTGACAACAATGGGTCATTGCTAGGATCTGGGAGAAAACCCCAGATGGTCTTCTGCTACCAATAGGATACAGGGTAAAACTAAAACTACCTTGTGCTGTTGCAAGGACATGGAGGAAGCCTCAAGACGTCTTCTTCCTTTACTGGGATAGGAGGGAAATCCCAAATTGTCTTCTGTATTGCTAGGATATGGGGGAAATTCCAGATCATCTTTTACCATTATTAGGGTACAGAGGAAATTCAGGATATCTCCTGCTACTACTACATAATGGAGAGAAGTAACAATAAGGTGAACATATTGTCACGTATCGGGCGTATATCGCGACAAATAAATTCTCGACGTATTTGATGTAGCGAATTTTATTTCACATTCGCACTTACAATCACCCAAATTACAATCTGACGATTACTGCTATCTGCAGTATCACAAATAGTACACTCCAAATGCCACAATACAACTGACTGGTTGCTGGCTA